CTACTTCCATCTTTTGCAACTCACAAGGTAACATCTCCATCTAGTGATGTTTTAAGGATCCTACAGTAAATCCTAAAAAAAATTTTCTGTTGAACTTCTCAGTCTAACATGTCTAACACAATTTCAGTTACTTTAACTTTAAATGTGTATTTAGAATTACTGGGAATTGAGAAGGCACCAACATGAATATTTTTGTGGGGAAGTAGATGAACGGCCACAAATAGTAATAAATATGATAGAACAATTACCATCCTTCTAGTTCTTGAGGAAGAGGAATGACATGTTAAAAAAAAAAAGCTAAATAGTTATATTCTATCAGTTCAGGTTTTCTAGTTGCTTTATTTTGAATGCACGCAGCCTCTATAAATGTGATGGTATTCATTGACTTAAGAGCAGACAGTTTAGGAGAGAATATTTGTTGAGTTTCATGTGTGCACTGGGTATTATACCACTTCTTTCTGGACACATTTTGAGACAGTATAGCATAGTGGTTATGTCGGAAGGTCTGAAAGCCAACCCTAGGCAACTTATTTGCTGTATGACCTTGAGCTACTTTAGTTCTCTGTCCCAGTTTCCCCATCTGTAAAATGGGGCCACATGGGACTAGCACCTTTGCCAAAGCTACTGTGAAAATTAGATGAACGAATACGTGAAAATCCCTTAGACTTGTCTCCGGCATATAGGAAGTGCTCATCATTTGTTAACATTATTTATCATTTAATCCCCACGATAACTATTTTAAGCTGGGGCTAAGAGAAGTTTTTTACCCAAGGTGTCACACCCACTAAAAGGTAATATAGGGACTTGAGCCCATCTCTGTCTGACTCCAAAGTCTTTGGTAATTCCTCACTGTTGGAGTACACTAAAAATAAAAAGATGTTCATTAGTGCCCTGAACATATAGAGACAACAAACTGAAATCACGAGTCATAGTGGAAGAAAGCACCTTGAGGTTGGGAATTAGGAGGCCTACCTCACTGTATATGTAACCCAGTGGAATACTTTGGACATCCAATTCCTCTCATGTTAAAGAAGCTACATGATCTAGGTTCTTTCCAGTTTTAATATTCTGTAAGTCTATGAATCTACACAGTTGATTCCTAAATTCATCTTTTTCTGTCTGCCATTTAATCCTGAGCCCTATCTTTAAAATTAGAAAGCAAAATTCACAGGAAGTGTGCAGAATACCACACAATCGTATCTGTTCAAGTTGGTTTTAAACAAGCACAGAACCTGGTTCTTCAGCTCCACCTCAGACAAATCTCTCTACAAACTGATTAGAGATAGAGTTGGCCTATTATTAAAGTATTTCCCTTCATAGTTTAGTACTATTTGCAAATCAGCCTTTCAGTCTTATTCCCCTTCCCCCCAGCCCCCACCTCACCGCCACCACCAACCCCAAGTCCTTATTTAAAAAGATTCATAGTTACGACCTATGGTTGTTTGGGGTAAAACCAGCAGTTTAAGACTTGAAAACATCATATGAGAGAAAAGAATTTTTATGACGCATTTATATTTTCCCCTAAGTAAAAGAACTAGGTTCAATGGATCACAGCCCTGTTTTTAAACGCCTTAACAGAACATAGAGGATATTCTTGCAGTATCACTTAGTGCCCCACTTTTCCTCCAAAAAAAAAATTGCTTTCCTCGCTCCAATTGGCTCAAGTGGCTGTCACTCTAAGCACTTTCACTCTCCACTCAAGAGCTTATTTTGGATTTATACCACAGTCCCGCCCATTCACCCTTGCTCCTCCCCAGACCTGGGCACTGATTGGTCCAGGCGCCACTCCGCGTGGGGCTGTTTATGCCACCGCGCGCAGCGCTCGCTGGGAGCTGAGTCTAGGCGCGAGGACGGCGCGAGCTGCACCTGGTGGGCTCCCCTCCCCCGTGCGGCGACCCAGGCTCGGACCGACACGTCCACGAAACGGTGGCGGCGGTTTGTGGTCGTTGGTCCCAGGGATTTAGGACCAACATTTGAAGACCCAAAGGGGTGAGGAGGGGATGGGGGCGGCGGGGTCACTGCCAAACTGCTGGTAACGACTGGAGACCCCGCCTCCTGGCCTCAGAAAGCCTTGTCCTCAGTCACTCAAGCCAAATTCGCGGTGAAGACCCACTCCCCGCTGGAGGCGGTGTCTGCGGAGTTAGGGCACCTCCTGCCATCGCCCCTTGCGCCGCATGGTTCTGGCCTTCCGGCCCCCAGCTCCCTGTCCCGTCGGGCCCTCGACAGCTCCTTCCGCTCCACATCGCCCTGCCTTCTCTCCTTCCCATTTCCGCTCTCCCCCACTGCCTTCCGGCCGCTTCCCACCTGCTGCCCTCCATGTTCTTTCCCTAACCTTCTCTGTCGACCACTGCAGGTCAGGCCCTCCGTCTCACATTCCGGCCGCCGAATTGCCGTTGTCGGGCCTGCGTGTTCCCTCTAAAGGTTCTGGGACGACGGCTGGGGTGTCCTGCCTGCTGGGTGAGATTTGGCAGTCATGTCGTAGTTTTCATTGAGTTCTAACTGCGGATGAGTCTCGAACTTTCTTCTATCTTTGACATTCTTTCTCTTTCGTCTGCTGGGTTTTGAACCATGCAAGGCTGCGGGCTGGCCAACAGGAAAGACAACAGACTCCCCTGGACAGCAATACAGCCAGTTGTACCCTCTTTGTTTGCTAACATCAGGCAGTTGGAATTACTAATTTGTAAAATATTTTTTGGGGAGTCCCGAAAGGACCACTGAACATGGAGTCAGGAGACCTCGGGTTTAATCCTGGCATTGATACTACTTCCGAGATCCTTGTGTAGCCCCTTGATTTCTTTTGTTTACTAGTTATGTTCATTTAGTTCAGTTAATGTTGAAGTCTTTTTAAGCCTTCACATTCTTGATAAGTATTCTATAGCCTTTATAAAATATGTGATTCTAATAAGGCTGATAGAGACGGAATATCAGCAGGAGCTAGACTTGTCTTCTAGTTTAAATTTGCTCCGCTTTGTGTTTGAGGATGGCATTAGAACCAGGAAGCAGGATGTGTTGCGTGTATAATACTAACATATAAATAACATATTTGCATGTCGGTAGAATTTTGCTTATTTAAGTAATGGGGAGATAGTTTCCTTTCAAGAATCACTATGATGTGTAGTGGAGATGTTGGACAAACTTCCATTTGTAGCCTTTCAGAATTAAAGCACCTCATGGACTCTAATGATAGATTCCTTCCAGGGTACACATTTAAAACATTCTATTTTAAAATTAGTTTGTCGCAACTGTGTGCCCTTATCGACACAAAGATGACGGTTAGTGCTGCAGTAATTTAATACTAGCATTGCCTTAGTTTCTGCTTAGGCACTGCTTTAATTGCTAGTTTTCACTTAAGAAAGTGGGATGTTGGACTTCAGCATTATTGCCAAAGATTATTATAAATATGAACACCTGAAATATAAACATATGTATCCCTGGATATGTTATGAGGTTAAAATTCTTCATAAGATTATGCCTAATTTATGGACTGAAATTAAGCCTCATTTTTAATGGTGCCAATAGTGGTGGTGTTAGGGAACAGATATGTTGGTTTAAGAAGAGTTTGTGAGTACATATCAAATAATTGTTGAAAAATCTTAGATTTTCAAAATAATACTTTAGATTGGGTGTTTTCCATCTTCTTTTACCACCTGATGGTGAAGCAAGAAAAAGAGGGAAGAAAATATGATCTCTATGTTCAAATTTTAACAGATTTCAGATGACAGATTAGAGAAAACTGTGTAAGGAAGAGTAGTGTACTGTTTTGTCATGGTGTGCAAGAATTTTGGTTCTTTATGTATGTCTTTATGCTAAGTTCAAAGAGCATTACACTTGTTTTTAAAGCAATATTTTAAAAGATTATTAGATAGAATTATTTTATAAAATAGTTCAATTCTTAAAACATTTTTAAAGTGAAGCCTGCCTTTCACAGTATTACTAGAGGTTGTAAAACATCTGGTACTAAAATGTTTTGTATATATATTTAACTTACAGGAATAAAAATGTGTTTTCATGTTTTAATAAAAATAGTTTAAAATGGAATTGAACTGATCTTATTTTGGAGTGTTAGGTTTACACATCATTATGCTTTTGACTAATTCTTCCCATTTCCCAACCATATTGCCATGGTGCAGTTTGTCACTAAAATGAGTTAATACTAAAAAAATCTCCATTGACCTGGCAACCATGGTCTCAGTGTACCATATTCAGAAACAACTGAACTAATGTATCTGCATTTTAATACCATCTAATTTAAGGAATGCCATAAAGATATGATGTCCTTTCTATAAGTGTTCTCATACCTTAAAAATTAATGTTTTTTCTATTCATTTTTTAAAAATTATAGTAAAACTTATGAAGTGTTTATTTTCACAACTTTATAAATATAGTAAATCAGAAGATAAAGTTTCAATTTAAGTAGTTTGAGTGACAGATTTTTTTAGATACATGATTAATTTTCATTTATAGTTTGCTTTGTACTTACCTTTTTCATTAGTACAGTTTCTATTTGGAAGGACAGTACAAATTTGGTAAGTTACAGTTTTATTAACTTATGAAGATGCTCAAAATTAATGAAGACGTAGTTAGCATTCATTTAAAGCTAAAGGCTTTGTATGACGAAATAATTTAAACCTTGGACTGTATAGGTTAACAGTGATCATTGATGGCAGTATTTTTTGTTACTCCAGCTTTCTTTTTTTCTTTTCCAATTCTCTTTCACTTCTGTTTACCCATTCTTGCTTTTGTTGTTCCTTTTGTTGTTACTCCTTTTTTTCTACTTTCACCTTCCTTTCTTGTATTTAGCTTAAGTCTTGTGAAGGCACGGGTTAATTGACATTAAAAGAAGTTTCCAACTTCCATGGTAGAGATCTTTGGTGGGGTAAGACTGCAGTGATCACCAAATGTAGCAACCACAACTATCCTTGGTTTCTTGCAACCCAAAGAAATGCTTCATAGATTCCTGATGCTCCATATCATAATCACTGTTTTTATACTTTGTTTTAGGAACTGCAGCCATGAATGAAGAAAATATAGATGGAACAAATGGATGTAGTAAAGTCCGAACTGGTACTCAGAATGAAGCAGCGTTACTTGCTTTGATGGAAAAGACTGGTTATAACATGGTTCAAGAAAATGGGCAAAGGAAATTTGGTGGTCCTCCCCCAGGTGTGGATTTGTTTATGTAAAAACAACAAAAAATATCAAACCTTTAGTGTAATCTTTACATTACATGTATATTTCCACAAGTATTCCAACAATAGTTCTAATCCTTATAACTGCTTTAGGACTGTAGCAGTTATTTTTAATGTTAGGGAAAAGAGGTAGGTTTTATAATGTTTTGCATGTTTTACCCTTACATTTTTCAATGCTACTCTTAGTTTAAGAAGTAGTTGAGAAAGCAGTTGGGTTGGTTTAGAGGTCAGGATTGGGTCATTGGGGAAAAGGGTATTCTAGCTAATAAAGGGGGAGGTTGTTTTGGGAGGAATTTGAAACAGCAGTGTGTAGAGATGTGATGTCTCTACTAGATGCAAATCAGATGCAAACAGGTAAGGAGAATGTTTTGTTTTTCTACAATAGCCAATGCAGTTTCCTTGCTCAAAACCTTCCAGTTAACTTTCTATGAGGCTTAAAATGAAATCTTGCCCTCTAACTACATTGATGGCCACATTACCTACCACTTTACTACTCCCTCAAGCTCTGAGTGCTCTGAGTTGTTTTAACATACAACACATTTGCTGTTGCTGCTTCCTGATATATATGTCCTCAAGGCTCATTCCCTCATTTCATTCAGATGTCTGCTTAAACTTCTTGTTCTCAGAGAAGATTTACCCAACTGTCAAAAGTATCAACTGTTCTGTGGCTGTATTTTCTTAGTACTTGCACTCATTGTCTCCTTTCTATATTGACTATATGCTTCACGAGGGAAAGGGCTTCTATTTTGTTCACTGTTGTATCCCCCAGCTTCTAGAATAGCACATGGCACAAAGAAGGCCCTCGGTACATTTATGCAGTGAATGCATGATTGTATAGTGAATATAAATATCTTACTAGAATTTATCTGTATTTTTGTCAGGTTGGGAAGGTCCACCTCCACCTAGAGGCTGTGAAGTTTTTGTAGGAAAAATACCTCGTGATATGTATGAAGATGAGTTAGTCCCTGTATTTGAAAGAGCTGGGAAGATCTATGAATTTCGACTTATGATGGAATTTAGTGGTGAAAATCGAGGTTATGCTTTTGTGATGTACACTACAAAAGAAGAAGCCCAGTTAGCCATCAGAATTCTTAATAATTATGAGATTCGACCAGGAAAGTTTATTGGTGTATGTGTAAGCTTGGATAATTGCAGATTATTTATTGGCGCTATACCCAAGGAAAAGAAGAAAGAAGAAATTTTGGATGAAATGAAGAAAGTTACGGAAGGAGTAGTAGATGTCATTGTTTATCCAAGTGCAACTGATAAGACTAAAAATCGCGGTTTTGCATTTGTTGAATATGAATCGCACAGAGCTGCTGCTATGGCCCGGAGAAAGCTAATTCCAGGTAAGTCTATCCTTTTGAAGGTTATTTTCCTATATTCTCTTCATTGTAAGTGTGAAAAGATAACAGTACCTCATAGATCAATACTATGAAAATGCGTAATGCCCTTAAAGAGGAGTGAGGATTAAGTAAGGAAGTAAATTGAATGATTCTAAAAAACAATAAATTGTTTCTAAAAAAAAGTCAATATTTCTAATAAGTTACTGATTACTGAATTGTATACTTATATTGAGTTGTTAATTGTGTTTGATAAAAAGCCAAAGACAATGCCTAATTTTTCTAATAAAGATCTATCTTTGAAGCATATTTGTTTTGCTGACTATTAAAATTAATTTCACCATACGTTCTGGTTAGTTTTGCCTTAGTAAATTTTTGTGTGAGTAGGAAACTGATGTGTAATCAAGCATGTTGATATGTATTTGAGTTTCTACTTATTTGGAGAAACAGTTTTACTTAACAATACTTAACTTCTGTTTTAATTATTTTCAGATTAATTTATTCTTTTTTACAGGAACATTCCAACTATGGGGCCATACCATTCAAGTAGATTGGGCTGACCCAGAGAAAGAGGTTGATGAGGAAACCATGCAGAGAGTTAAAGTTCTCTATGTTAGAAATTTAATGATATCAACTGCAGAGGAAACAATTAAAGCAGAATTCAATAAATTCAAACCTGGTGCAGTTGAAAGAGTAAAGAAACTTAGAGATTATGCTTTTGTTCACTTTTTCAACCGAGAAGATGCAGTGGCTGCTATGTCTGTTATGAATGGAAAGTGCATTGATGGAGCAAGTATTGAGGTAACACTGGCAAAACCAGTAAATAAAGAAAACACCTGGAAACAGCATCTTAATGGTCAGATTAGTCCCAATTCTGAAAACTTGATTGTGTTTGCTAACAAAGAGGAGAGCCATCCAAAAACTCTAGGCAAGCCAGCAGCTCTTCCGGCTCGTCTCAATGGTCAGCATAGCCCAGGCCCCCCTGAAATTGATAGATGCACTTACCCATTTTTTCCTGGAACAAAGCTTACTCCAATTAGTATGTATTCTTTAAAATCAAATCATTTCAATTCTGCAGTAATGCACTTGGATTATTACTGCAACAAAAATAATTGGGCACCACCAGAATATTATTTATATTCAACAACAAGTCAAGATGGGAAAGTACTCTTGGTATATAAAATTGTTATTCCTGCTATTGCAAATGGAGCTCAGAGCTACTTCATGCCTGACAAACTCTGTACTACGTTAGAAGATGCAAAGGAACTGGCAGCTCAGTTTACATTACTTCATTTGGGTAAGTTTAAAAATACTTTAAATAATATTGTAGAATATGAAATATTATTGTAGGTTATTTATAAATTAATTTATTTTGAACTCAACATTAGTGGTGAGTATTTAACATAATTTTACCTCAGTTTTAGGAATTTGTGGTAAATTTTTGTTGAGACTTTTCTCCTATGGAGATTTACTATACTTAGTTTTTTTAAACATTTACTTCAGAGTTCATGATCCTGTTTTATTAATTTATTGTTTTGTAATGACTCATTCTCATTCGAAATAATTTCTATTGTATACAAGTTACAGGATTTGTGACTTAAACCAACTTGTATCTTTGGGTAGGCATCTTTGGTGAAGCCTACTCAATAGGGGTAGGAAGTTGAAATCAGTAAAATCAGAAGCATTTCAGGTGTGTCAGGTGTAGTAGACACAGCCTTATGCTCACCAATCTGGAAATTTGTCATTATTACTCATGAAAGACAAAAAGCATCATTAAAAAATGTTTATGACCATTTTATTTTAAATTGCATGCATTAAAAAAAGTAAGTTTCCCTAGCAGGGGTGTCCAACCTGTGGTCTGAGAACTGCATGCGGTCCAGGATGGCTCTACATGCGGCCCGACGCAAAATTGTAAATTTACTTAAAACATTGCGAGACTTTTTTTTTCCTTCTGTTTTTGTTAGTGTTTGTATATTTAATATGTGGCCCAAGACAACTCTTCTTCCTTCAATGTGGCCCAGAGACGCCAAAAGGTTGGACACCTCTAAATTTTGATGGATAATTAAGAAAGGCTTTGGGACATATATTTTGCATTGGAAAGGAAGAGATGTAATATCACTCTGGTATTTTCCTACTTCCTGTTTTTTACTGTTTTGTTAGGTACCCCCTTCCCACCAGTTTGTCTCCTTTTTAAATGCAGCTATATATTTCAGCTGGTGATAACTTTGTGCTCCAAATAATAATAATTAGAAGAATAGTGGTTTCTTGAAAAACAACAGTAAAAAGGAAAGGCCAGCTACCAAGGATTATACTTGTTTCTTTTATTGTAGTCAAACTCTTAGTTTAAAATTGATTTGTTACATGTTTGCAGAACCATACTACTGAAGCTTATATCTAAAATTGGTATCTTCAAATTTGTTAAGAGAAACCCGTCAAAAAGGAAAAACAGTACCAAAAGGGAAAGTAATTTTTATATAATGTATAGACTTGCTTGTTCATTGTAGCCACTCCCATAGCATTGTGAATATTTTTAGAAGATTCTGATTTGGAGATCTCCCCTTCATAGAAGCTTTTCAGTCGTGTCCTCAATTATTACTTTGGAAATACTTGGTAATTTTATAGTCGTTTAAGTTAATAAATCATTAGGCATGATTTCCATTAATATACGTAATAGAATCCTTTCAGTTTTTAATAATAAAGATGATATAAAATTAGGTGGGTAGTAAATAATTCAAGCTAGGGTTCTTAGAGAAAAATGGATCAAATTATTCTTTTGGCATGGATATCGATAATTAGTTGCTAAGCAGGATTTTCCTAGGATACTTGTATCTGATCCAACATGGTTATGCTGAAATATATTTGTTTCTACCTTCACTCATTTCCCTTACAAATTTACTTTGAAGTTCCAAGGTCCTTAACACATAGTCGTCTTAGTTTATTTTACGTCAGATTTTCTGTTTAGACATGGTTTGCCCATTTGGTTATCCCATATCAGATGTTATTTGAAACTAGGGGTTTTTCATCAGCTTTTAATTTAATATTAAAATGTTTTTTTTTACTTGAGTATTAGGGCAATAGTTAACTTGTAGCATTTAGTTTCCAAAGAAAACCCCTATTGTATTGTATTCCTGATTATGTTAATTAAGGATAAAATTAATGTCAATAAATGAAATTCTTAGAGGGTGCAGGCAGTTTGCTCTATAGTCATCTACTTCAGATTTTATCAACCTTATATTAAAGCTGCTTATAATAAAACATTGAACAATTTGTGTTTTATGTATTTTCTCAGTTTCTGTCCACCATTAGAGAAAAGATCGAATACCCAAATACAAGCCAAAAACTTGTTTAGATGGAGTACACAGTCCTGAGGCCTTGTCTGCAGACAGGAACAAAAAAATCCTTAGTGCAGTTGTCTAGAAATATGAGTGAAGGTTGAGTTAGAGACAGCTAAGGAGGAGAGAATTCAGGAATATGGAATATGGAATAGAGATCAGGGTCTAGGAATTTTTTATTGGAAAATGAGTATCAGACTTTCAGAGATTATTTGAATAATGACAGGTGCTGTAGATAGCCTTATTACATGTTGCCACGTGGCAGGTCAAGGGTAGAGTTACTATTGTTGTGGCAATGATCTGGCTTGCTTTTTCCTTCTATTAATACTGGAGCCTCTGGGCTTTAAAGGGTTGATGTGTTTTTATGTGGAGTTTAGATAAAGTTTGCACAGTTTCACTGAATGGTTCAGGGCAGAGATGATGGTGGTGGTAGTGTGTTCTTCGAGGGCAAGGAGTGTTATATGGAATGTTATATTTGTCGATATCCTGTTAAATATTTACATGTTTCAAACCTTGGATTTCTTTGAGCCTTGAGAGAGTGTTACTGGTTTGTTCCTAAAGTTCCTCAAATAGAGTTTAGTATTGGGTTGACCAAAAAGTCCATTTAGTTTTTCCCATTAAATAAAAGACATTTTTCATTTTCACCAATAACTTTTTTTTGATTTGGGTATTTTGAGTATGTTGGCTATCTCCCACTATTGACTTGTTCTGGGAAAAAGGCCAGGGATGCTGCTAAACATCTTCCAATACATAAGACAGCCCCACAGCAAAGAGTTATTTGGTCAAAATCACAAAAAAATTATTTGGTAAAAATGTCACTAGTACCAAGACTTTGCAAAGCACTTTTGACATGTTCGATCAGTCACAGCACCTTCTCCATACACTGCACAAATCTTTTTGCATTTCAGTTTTTACTTTTCTTGAAATAATAAAGCATAATACACTGAAAATGTGTGTTTTCTTCCATCTTCAATATTAAAATGGCTCACAAAAATTCACCCATTTTGATGTTTTTTTAAATGCATACTGATATGACAGCTGTCACAATACAGTCTAACAAAATTGTTTTGAATTAAGTTAAAGATAACTAAGTACTACTAGAGCCATCTTATGGAAAAAACTAATGCACTTTTTGGCCAACCCAATATTAAATAATCTTTGGCTTTATTTTCTTAAAGAATTTGAATATAATTTCCTAGACAGTGAATTTAACTACTATTTTAAGATGATATCCTTGGGCGTAGTAATTTTTAAAAAATTGCTTTAATACACTTCTATTAATCCTTGAGGTTTGGTGCTACTCTGAGTATTATCCAGTCTTACCTTGATGATCTTTGACTATTATGTGTGATATAAACAGTTATTTACCTTTTAATTTCAGGGCTTATTAAGAATGTACTTGTTGTCTTGGCATTACCATGCCCATTTTTCAAGTTTGAAAAATAAAAGACAAAAAACTAGACTTTACTTAGTTAAATGACTATTGTTGGTATTAGGAGGAAAATAGAAAGTTTTTTGATGCCTTTAGGCATCTAAATGAGTGCTAGAAATCAAGGAGCTTACTTCTGGTGACCATTTAGTACTCCTACTAGAATCCCAGAAGTTCTTGGTATGTAGTCCCTTAAAATCAATTCTTAAAATATTTTGGATTGTTTTAGTTCCCATTTAAAGTGAGCTCTTATTTTAAGCAAAATGCCCCTAAATAGAAGAAAGGCTGAAAGCTGGGGTTAATGCCAAATTTGAACTCTCTTTTTTTAACTTTTAAGTTTAGGGACTATCATCATCTTCATAGCATCAGAGAATAACCTTCCTGACCTCAACCAATATGATAAGAAATTCTGTTACCTGGTTGTATTTTGGAACTTGTAATAAGTGGGATCCTCAGTGGGTTTAATGGATGGAATACAGACTTGGAGCATAGGAAATAGATAGTTTCATACCAGATATTTGATGTATAGAAACATCTTGGGTCATTCAGTATCATCTGGTTAAATAGGACTTTTCTGTTTAACAGTTTGTATCTTTAATAATAGATCAGACTATCAGTGTGAATAATCCTGCTCTTCTTAAAACTTTGCCTCTGTTTTGAATCTGGGCCTTCTGATATTGCCACTGCTTTCTCCTGGAGGATTCTTCACCATCCAGGAGTGGAATAAGCAAAATCAAGGAGATAAAGAAAAGTTCTGGAGAGTTAATAGTTTTGAAGAAGAAAGTCCTGGAGAATACTTACTGGAAGGAGGGATGTCGCCTCAGTATGTGTTGATAATTCATCTTGTTAAATAATTTAGTAACAACTAATCATAGGCAAAGCATTTCTTTTCTTGTTTCTGTGTTTGTAATACTGATGAAATAGGAGTTTTTTACTTTTGTGACCACCTAAAGCTTTAAGACAGGGGTGAAGAACCTCTGTCACAAACCAGCTTGTGCTATTGATTTAATTTCGTCTGAGTGTTCTTTTGTTTTGGCCATGAATAATGAAGTTTTAATTAAGGAACAAATCTTTTTTGAACTCCTGTGCTAAGTGTACTTTCCTAAGCAATCTGGAGCTAAAGATAAATAAAACATTGTTTTTGCTTTTAAGGATTCATGGTCTACTGAAGAAGACAGGCACGAGCTCTATGTGTAGATTATTTGGGGAGTACAAAGAAGGACAAACCTCCCACCTGTTGTAAATCATGAGAAGAGTTGATGGCCAGAGAGAGACACAACATAAACACTTAGAAAAACAGCATAGTGGTGGCGTAATGGCAAATAATTCTGTATAGTGTTTGCTTGGTGATTTCAGCCAGATACTAAGATTAGAGATGGAAAGGAAGTGGACTTCAGTTCATTGAAATTTCATCAGTTCTGCTTTTTAAAACTTTGCGAGTATTTTTTTAGTGCAACTATGTTGATGTTACCTGCTTTTCCTCTGAACAAGTAAGTTTTTTCTAGATGAATTTATTTTGATTTGTGTGGACCACTT